TCTAAGGGAAGAGAAACTGGACAGTAAGAGGAAGAAGTTAACTTCAACCAAACTAAGGGATCTGATCCCAGGTTAGTCATGATCATACCAATACGACATATTTCAAACCACAATCTGCTCCCCCTGACACTGTCTCTCTGTCATTGCAGGAACATCAAACTTTATCAACTTGTATGCCTTTCATTTAGAGAAAGTCATCTCAGGCTTCTGAACAAATTGCATAATCATAATATAACGCCTTATTTGTAGTCTTGTGGGCATTTGGACAGAATTATCATTCAAATTACCTTCTCCCTAGCTCTCTCTCTCTCTCTCTCTCTCTCTCTATATATATATATATATATATATATATATTACATTTAAAATATTCACTAAGTATTCACTATGAAGCAGTATTGTTCTCTTCTAAGATGACAATATTCATACCCTGTCTACATCATCTTGATGAGGTAACCAAGATTCTAATAAAGTTTTCAGGCACAGGTAAAAGGTGTTCCTTTTAAGATTCTATCAGTGTGTCCCAGACATGACAAACCTCAAGAAAACACTAAGAGCTGGACTTTAGGAATATTTCTAACCATAGTAGTGCTAAGTGAAACAAGCAGTTGCTACTGCCCTGTGCTTCTCACTCACTTTCTCACACTCACTGTATGCATTCCATTTGCTGAGAAAAGTGGCATGTGTCATTCTTGAACACTGTTGTCCAGTTCTAATCTATTAGATTCATTTGTTTTTGATCAATGGCCTTCCAATATTTAATAGTTAATAATATTCTCTACTGTTATCCAGTTGATTCATCAACTGAATCCCCTCCTACAGTCCCTGTCATAGACCGCAAGTGTCAGCCACGGCTGTGGTCTCATCTGCCGGCAGGACAGGGAGGACTGATTTGCTGGTCACTCACGAGGCTGTTGGCAGAAACCAATTGCTCAATGTTGTTAGATGGAAGCCTTGGCTTCTTGCTGGATGCTGGCCAGAGACCAGCATCCAGATTCTCACCAGATTCTCACCATGGCAGCTGCTAGTTTCACAGGATTCAGTAAAAGGGTGGGTCTACTAACAAGAAGGAAGTCTCATTCATTTGTAACCTAATCAATGGCATGACATTCCCTCCCTGCTACCATAGTCTGTTGACTAGAAGCTATGTAATTCAAAGGAGAGGAAATATATAAAACTGTAAACAACAAGTCAGGGATCATCAGGGCCATAGGGGGTGGGGGTCAGCTAGAGCATTTGACACCACCTACCTGGCCATAAAAGAAAGAGAAAGGAAAACAGAGAAGAATGGTGTAAGGTGAGAAAAAGAAAGGAGAAAAGTAGGTAAAAGGTAGAGAAAGGAGAGAAAAACCCAAAAACAAAACAAAACAAAAACCACTTCCTTACACTATGTTTCTATCAGAATTCTATATTCAGGTACAATTTCCATCACTTTAACACTACAACCATGAATTTCCTATTTATTTAGAGTGAGAGGAAGTAATGTGAGTTTTCTACACATGTGGAATTGAAAGGAAACAGGAAACATAAATGCTAAGAATACTAAGCTTAAGCAAAATGACTTTCAAATTATTTTTTTTCTTTTTGAGCTAGTAAAGCTTTTCTTTCCTCTCTGTTTCAAGTTTGGGATTGGCTTATCATTGTTGTCATCATGTGACAAGAATATCACAGGGGAAGTTTGGGAACCTAGTTAGTGTTTATACTTGAAGTTATCCAGTGGTTCAATTCCGTAGTTCAATTCAAATGTTCAAATTATATATGGGTTCTGTGCATTACTGCTACCAGTTATCTATGTCATTTAGTTGTAACGGTTTATAATCATGTGTGTCATCTGTTCCCATCTCCCTATTGAGAAAACTAAGGCTTGATCCAGACCTAGGATTAGAGCATGAATTCTAATGGAGTGCATTTCTTCTTGGCTCTGTAGAAATGAAGTCAAGATGTGAACCATTCCCCACAAAGCCACAGTATTACTGTAGTTGGGGCTTCAGCATGTCTTACTATTCATTTTCTAGAAGGAATTAAAACAGTGTTTTCAATTTTAGCTAGAAGTGAAAAGGAAGGTTTTCAGGTACTTTGTAGTATTAAAAAGGGGGGGAGGGTTAGCACACAAAATATATGGTGTTATCACTCTATTTATTTGTAACATCTCACAGGCTTAAGTAATGTTTTGCTCTAAGAATGGTTATTAAACACTGACCACATAAAAATGGCTGACCATTTGCCTTTATAACCAAGGCAGATCCTATCAATGCCCCATAACTTTGTAAATTTCTCAGATTATTCAGGAAAAGGAGAATATCTTTGACCATAGAATATTATTAAGAATAAAAAAATCCTGCCTCTAAGGAAAGAGGGGGGATTGAGGCTAAAAACAGGCCTGAAGGAAGCTCAGGCTCTTTGACTCTGCTGAACACAGAAGAACCTTCATATAAGAATCCCCTCTGTAACCCAACTGAGCATTTGTTCTACAGAGCAATGGAGAAGCAGTATGAGAGCAGTCATGAGATAGTACTATCCTAGAACTGCACACCTTGGATGACACTCTCTGCCTGTATGTCCTGGCCTTCCAGTCAGCCTAACTGCTTCTTCATTCACATAGAAAAAGAAAGGAAAGAATTACCAGATATTTGGGAGAAGTCTGAGATCCAAAAAGAAAAACCAAGACAAACAAGAGGAAAACACTCCCTGATGAAAACAGAAAATTCAAAGGAGAAAAGGGAAATTTACAAATAAAAATGCTAAAGTTCAAAAACAAATCCTGCCTCCAGTCTATCCTTCTAAGGCTTTGTCTGAAGCTCTGCAAGATTCTTGTTTTTGACCAGGCTATTTAAGACAACAGATTTGCTTGAATAATACATATGTCCCCCTTCACTGTATTAATTTGTATATGCATCGACTGCACAGCCCTGGCATCCCTTCTTACCCTGGTTATTTGTCTACAGACAATTTCTCCTCCCTCAATGGAAACTTCCCAAGCTCCAAGTCCTCATCAATTTTGTTCATTGCTCTAGCCCTAAAACAAGCATACTATAAGATTATTACTTAATAAGTGTTTGTTCAATGAATGGTTAAAAATAGACTTATGTTATAATATATAAGGCTTATGTTATATAATATCCCTGACCTTTATGAGTTTTTTGACAACCCAAAAAAAAAGTATTTTTGGGTTCAGAATACCAAGTATGCATCTGGAATTAGGAATTCAGATTTTATTTTCATGTGTGTGTTTGTAAATTATTTATGTTTAAGTTATCTCTTAAAGTACTTATAAAAAATGGTTTGTCTCTCTAAAGCCCCAAAATGACTTTTAGGTCCAAGAACAAATATCTTAAGTTTCCAATTGGAGTGGTACTTAATTCTATAAAGAGCAGAGAAAATTAAAAGAAAGAAGAGGGGAAAAGAAAGAAACCTAACTATCTTGAAAATAGCCACTGATATCAGAACATAGAACATCGACTGCTCCAGCCTTGTGTGTTGCATGTCTGTAGCTGCTAGCTTCATCAATGCAGAGGGACTTGGTCTAACAGCCTGATATTAGGAGGGACTTTTCCCTTTCCAAATTAGAATTGATATGCATATATACATAAGTTGTTTAGAAGTTTCTACTTAATGACTTTATTTGGCTGTATATTCTTTTTTTTTTTTTTTTTGCCAATCCTGGGGCCTGAACTCAGGGCCTGGGAACTATCCCTGAGCCTCTCTGTGCTCAAGGCTAGCACTCTACCATTTGAGCCACAGCGCCACTTTCGGCTTTTTCTGTGTATGTAGTACTGAGGAATCAAGCCCAGGGCTTCATGCATGCAAGGTAATGGCTCTACCACCAAGCCACATCCCCAGGCCTTGGCTGTATGCTGTTAAAGATTCTTTTAAAAGAACACAAACATAAGTGACTTTTTAATTAAAACTCTACATGAAGGAAAACATCACTGTAGCAGATGTGATGGGTAGACAATAGTACCCTTTATCCTGGGCATGCTTAAATTCCTGCCTGGGCAAAGACACCAGCCTATGAGCAGGTATGGCCTAGAAGTGCACAGGAATTAAAATCTCTAATGCAGTCTTCAACAGGGGGTGCTGGATTGTGGATATAAATGCCCATGCCTCCAGTCCTGCTCAACAGTGGAGAAACACATTGTACAGAGATCTGGGGGGAGAGAGATCCCAATCAATTCCTCTGGTAACCAGTTCAGTACACACACATGATTAGCTGTCCTCCCCACTCTCTTCCCACTCCAACCATTCTCTCCTTTCTAGATCCTGGGGTCATCTTCCAAATGAAAAACCTATACCCAAACACTGATCTGTGCCTTAAGCAGACCTAAGGAATAACGCTTGCATTAAAGGTCAGACAGTTTTTCTCTAGTCAAATGCTGACATTAACAAGCATAAACCTTGAGCCAATGGTCCAGGCATTCAGCTTTTCTAGAAGACATTTGGATCACTTCTTAGATGAGGAACAGGCTGGCTTGAGCCCAGTAGGTCTTGGAACATGGGTTTCCTGGGGACCATGAATGTCACACCTGATTTCCTCTTTTTTTCCATGCTTTTGTATTGCTATTATAGAAGTGATGTACAGAGTAGTTACAGTTATATAAGTCAGATAAAGAGTATATTTTTTGCACAATGTCACTCTTCCCTCTCTCTCCCAGATTTTCTCTCCCATTCCACACCCACAACTTGTATAGTTCACATTCAACGTAGTGCCTAGTGAGTACCACTGCTGCATTTGTTCATTTGTCCCTCCATTTCTGTGCCCCTCTTTATCCTATCAAGGAGAGATAAATGAACAAACAAGAGAAAAGGGAAAGAAAACAAAAACAGCCACAAAGGGAAAAAACACAACTGCTTCCATTGCTGGAATTCACTTTGAAAACTTATTTTATCTGATCAGATGCACACAGCTGTTGCACATTGGCATTCTTCCCCTAAGAATATCACCTCCTTTGGTCTCACTGTGGACACACCTGATTTCACTCCTGCCTTTTCTTTTTATTCTACAGATTCTTCTGGGAAGCCAGAGTTCACCAAGTGCCGTTCACCTGAACTAGAGACTTTTTCATGCCACTGGACGGACAAGATTCAGCATGGTTTAGAGAGCCCAGGATCCATACAGCTGTTCTATATTAGAAGGTGCAACCTTTCCTGCCTTTCTCATCTCCTCCTCTACGAATTTGTCGATGAAAGAGTATTGAGTCTCACACAGTTTAAGAATGGAAGTAACTTATTTTAAATACCTAAAAAAAAATGAAGAGTGTCAGTCCTGAATATGTTCATGTGTTTGAGAGAAGGGGCCCCTCTAAGTGGTGGTTTGTGTGTGGGTAAGCATGAGTGTGTGCTTGTGTGTTGGGCATGAGTGTATGTAGAGGGGGACATTTGGGGAAGACTCACGAGTGGTGTGTTAGAGTAGACCAAATGAAGCGAGAGAGAATATGTGCATGCTCAAGGAAAAGGCTGTGATAACATGTAGTAAGTATCCAGTAAGTAGTAGCTCCTATTCTTATTCTTGGTATATAATGATATCCAAACTCATAGCTATTTATAAATAGAGAGGGACTTAAGTAGGTTTTATTTTTCGTGCTCTTCAACAACTCAGAGAGCCAGCTTCACCAAAACAAATACAAGCATGGAAGAGCTACTCTGCTCTTGGCTTCTCCCACGTAAATGCCTTGTTTCAAAGAAATATGCATGTGAACACTTGATATCTCTGCCTCTGTCATATTTTGTACCATAGCCTTGCACACAAGTTACCTTGGCTTTTTAAAAGAAATATCATTTTCTTGCAAGACTGGTGGAGAAAATAGAAGGGAGAATGACATGGTTACTTCCCTCCCCACAAGGGTTCCATTTTTTTATTTTATGTTTTTTATTGTGATAATACTGTACAGAGGGGTTACAGTTACATGAGCAAGGTAATGAGTACATTTCTTATCAAGCATTGTTGCCTCCTCCTTTGTTTTTCCCCTACAATCCCTTCCCTCCCATCTCCTCAAGTACAATCCTCCCGCCCGCCCCCCCCCCACACCCGGCCTAAATTGTAAAGTTTGTTTTTCAACATAGCATCTTGTACATCTCATTGTTGCAATGGGTCAACCTGTATCCCTTTAAGGCAAGAAAAGTATACAATGGAAACAGCATCCCTTAAAGCATAAATGTTTTATTTTTTATGATCTCTTCTCCAATGGGTTACTTTTATAGGTGGAAAACATTTCTTAGACGTATTCTGATTTTTACTGATAATCTCCTTTGTATCCATTGTTCCTTTCACAACACAGTCTGGGCGCAAACCTAAAGCAGTTGACTTCAGAGATTCAGACTGCGAGGAAGTAAGTAACTTCTATAAATTGATTTTGGTCATCTGTGTAGAAATTCAACTGAGTCAAGGCAGGTGACTATTTGTTTTATGAGTCTGCTTGGCTTTGGTCCAGGTTTAAACATTTAAAAAATAAGTTTTAAATATTTATTCAACTTTGATTAATGTAGAAATTGGAAGTTCTGTTTTGAACTAGCTGTTCTTGATCTATCAAGCTTAAGATGAAGTGATTTAAGTGGTTTGTTCTGTGGAGTTAATGGATTTGGGATAACCTAAACAGAGTTTTTCGCACAAGTCTCATGAGAACCGGACTGCCAACATTGCCAAAGTTGAGAAACAGTGAAACTTAACAGAACTAGCCTCCTTACTACAAATCCAAAACTGCTAAATACTATCCTAAATCTTTGGAGCTCTTAATACTTTGAGGCTTCTAACTTTCATACTATCCATTATGCTAAGTACATTTGATATCTCCTCTACTATTATGTGAAAGGCTTATTTCATGGACAATCCTATTAAACTGTCAGTTTAATTCACTCTTAGTTAGAAGTTAATATCTAACAAAAATTCAATGACTCACCAATCTTTCCTAATCTCTTAAATCTTTTTTTTCTATTTCTCTATACACACATACACATACATATGCCACACACATGATCCTTTCTCTTATCCATTTACTTTCCCCATGAGAGATGAGTTCCTAGTCATCAGAAAGCCAAGAGACAGAAAGAAGGGGCTAGGCACAAAATGTACCATTCCATATACCTACTTCTTTTACTAAAACCCTGCATTCTAATTTCTACCACATCCAAACAATGGCAACAAGTTATTACTCCATCAGTTGATTGATCCATTGATTAGATTACAGTCCTCATGATCAAAAGATTTTACAATGATTGGATCTATTAGCTAAGGCCAAACTTTCAAAACCTGAGTCTTTGGGGGAAATATAATAATTATATTTCAATAAAATACTTTCCTCTCATTCCATTTCTCTTGTTCTCCTCCTTCTCCTTATGACCCCACTTCCTTGTCTTGACGCCTTTAACTAATCTGATCTCTCCTGTCCTTTTCTTATTGCCGTGTATTAAACATTTACCCATCTTTTAACATTGCTACAAACACACAACCTTCCATGAAAAGAGTATAGATAGATAGATAGATAGATAGATAGATAGATAGATAGATAGATAGATAGATAGATAGATAGATAGATAGATAGATATAGATATAGATCCACTGAATATCTATGGGAGAAATACAAGAAACAAAATACTGCAAATGATAGTTTGACTCATCTTCCAGCCTGATTTTAGCAACCAAATTTTATTTATCTTATATCTGCATAGTGCTAGTGCAAGATGTGACACATCCCTAAACATTCTTATTCAGGGTCTTCTAGGACACATTGCAGAAAAAACACAGCTTTAAATGTTCACTGTTCTCTTCCAGTCTTTACAGTTTGGGGATTGATTCTCTGTTCTGTTGAAATAAAGAAACATTCTTTAAATCTTCCTAAGTCCCAGAACCATCATCTGTAGGATGGGAAATTAAAGTACCTATGGAAATCACTTCATTAAGGACTTGGCAGAGCAAAAGCAGCCGATAAACTATACTTTCATTATGGGCAGATATACCAAGTGTCCTCCTGAATATTGTCTGCACATATGATACTTCTTCACAGTGGGATTACTAAAATGTAAAATATTTTGGCCAGAGACTATTTGTGTTTCAGAGTCATGCACCTCATTCTATGGTCTTAGATATGATTGATCCTATTTTTTACTGTCCATTACAGAAACACTCAAGACTGGACCGAAGAATGGAAAGAATGCCCTGATTATGTCTCTGCTGGAGAAAACAGCTGTTACTTTAACTCATCCTATACCTCCATCTGGGTCCCCTACTGCATCAAGCTAACTAACAATGGTGGTACAGTGGAGCAAAAGTGTTTCTCTGTTGAGGAAATAGGTAAATCACAGGTTTGTGTTTCCTTTGACATAGCTTCAGACAAATCACTGTGAAAGCCTGCAATTTCCAACCATAATCAAGTGGGAAGGCTTAGGAGTAGTGTTCTTTAAGTACATTGTCATCAGTGAACTGCACCAAGTTCTTTCTTTTTATTTTATTTTATTTTATTTGTCCTTTTGGTTTATCCCTGGTAGTCACTGTTTTTGATTCCGGTACTCTGCATCTTGTATATACATTATCTGACTTGGGGAAGAGAAGGAGAATAACCACATGGTGAAACAGTGACAAAGGGTGGCCCAGTGCCGCAATGATACTCACAAGACACTACATTGGAAATGAACTTTACAACTTCGGAGGAGGACGAGTGGGGTAGGGAAGAGAGTGAGAGAAAAATGAAGGAGTGAATAACAATGTTCCACAAGAAATGTCCTCACTAACTTACTTATGTAACTGTAACCTTTCTAACATCTTTACACCACAATAAAATTTAATTAAGAAAAGTAAAGAGTATCTCACAGGAGGCAAGTCAACTGGTGGACAATAAGAAAAGGCCAAAGGAAGTTAAGTTGACTCTCACATAAAAGAAGCCTGATAATAAACAGTGTGAAGAAAAGAATCTTGTCAAGAAAAGAAAGGAAGTCTTTTCTGGCTTCAAAGCTGGATTAAATGTTGCTTGTCAGTACAAGAGGCAAACTCAATGTATTCTTAAACTCTAGTCTTTCCTTAAACATGTGAAGTGGCTATCATATGCACATCTACTAAAAAGTGTTGGCAAAAGACCAACATCAAAGCCCAGTCTTTATCACACAGTATAATAAGATGAAATTTTATGTTTACAAAACAGCCACAATCAGTTTCAAGACATGTTTATAAGATTGCAAAACAAACATTGGACAATCAGCTCAGTAAACTAAGGAAAAGATCCAAACAGATGCTCTTTTGCCCATCATATGGACAGGAGGGGGGAAATAAAAGAAAACAAACAACTATAAGTGGAATATCCATGTCTGTAGTAAACTAGTATAAACGGCAAAATGGAAAGAATCAAAGAAAAACTAAATAGGTGATCTTGATGCCTCAACATTTATCCACAAAAGCTCATTTGCTGCTTACAAGAATTCCTTTTTCCTTCTTGCAGATATGTTACTCTTATGTGAAGTTTCCTAGACAAAATGGACATGAGTGAGAGCATGTAGATGGATGCTGCAGACAGAAACGAGCAACATTTGACATCCTGGCTTTGAGGGAGACACTGAGAGAACCGTAATAAGCAGGAAAGATTACCCTACTTCATAGTTTGAAGGAATATCAGTGGATGTAGCTTCTAGGCCAGTGCTATATAGTGTTGCAGAATGGCATAGTTGCAAGAATATTGGGTTAGCCAATATCCAGCCCTGCTCATTGATCTGGTTGACTCTCACTGAGAGCCTCCACCTGGGGTAGCTGCAGGATGAGTAAGATATAGTACAGTTTAGCCACAGTTACTAGATTTGAGGTGTGTAGAATACATAGTGACCAATGTGGTGGCCAAAGGCATGAATTATTCATTGACTTGCTTGAGTGATGAAGGCCTGCACAAAGATAGTGGCAATTGACTTGACTCTTTTTTTTTTTCATCTTTGTTCAAGTTTTTATATACATATGTCCAGAATAACAATTCTCTTTAAAAGAACTTTTAAAGTCACCTGGCTTAAGTAGTCGAGTTCAGTTAACTATCTGTAGCTTCCAGATAATCCTAAGCATTATAGTTTATACAAAGAGCAAAGATACACCCAATTTACAGAGTTCACCGCCCATTTCCCCCTAAACACCAGGTTCTGACACCACTGTGAACATTTATCCTATGCTCGACTCTAAATTCTGTATTTTTCTATCAGCTCTTTCGCTTTAGAAAGATAAGCAGTCATGGCATCTTCCTTGGATAGCCCTTTTTGAAGGCTCCAGGCTTCCCATTTGACTTTGCTCTTCAAGTCTAGCATGACTGGACACGCAATATTAATGTCTCCAATGATAGCTTGTTTGTAAAGCCCATAGGGTTCCTTCAGTTCTTCATCCTCTGGTCTTGTTTTCAATTTCCTCACGTCTTCCATGGCTCTGTCAAAGTCAGCCTGCAGAGACATGGTGATGGATCTGGGCAGCCACTACGCTCTTTGACTTGATTCTTAAAGCATGAGTGATACATAGCAGATATCACAGTGATCAGGCCTTCCAGCAACTCTTTTTTTTTTCATAAATCTTCATTGCAGAACAAAAGTTAAATACAGTTATGTTAGTGTACTTTACAAATATAGTAACACAATCATACTGTTTTCATAATTTTGATTCCATTTTAAGCATCACCCACCAAGAAAAGCATTTCACATGGTTTTAGCTTCTTTAATTTTCTAAATCTCCTTGTTGAGATAGGATGTTCAAATTTTTTAATTCTATTGTCTATGCCATGTACATACCATAGGTTGAATTAAGACAGATGAAAGGTAAAAGAGTGAGAAGACTGTCTTAATCAAGGTTAAAAAAATAATAATGGTGACAGGCAATTGCAATACTATTGCAGTAATAGCACAAAAACAGAAGGATGGAGAATGAAATGGAGCAAAGAGCAGAGGTAACCCTGGTAATATCTTGAAAAAGATGTCAATCACTTGAACTCATGGTTGTCTAGTATGTATTTATTCTGCTACCTCACAGAACTGCTCTTCTGATTTAGAATAATATAATTGTTAGAGATTTTTCCTTTTTTTTTCAGTTCACTCAGGAAATCATTATTGCATCCTTTCCTTCGGCCAGGCAGAATTTTATGTGCTAGAACAGAAAACATCCACCCTGCTGGAATTTAATCCTAGTGAGGGAGGAAAAAGACAAGGCCATGGAAAACCAGTAGGAAAAATGAATCAGGGTGTTGGAGAAGTTGTGGTTTTAAATAGGTTTGTCAGGTTTGGTGTCACTGAGACAAGGACATTTGAGTAAAGAAAGAAGTGGGAGAACAATCATGTGTGATTCTGAAGGAGGACATTTTAGAAAGAACTCAACCAGGCTAACGATCTGAGGTGGGTGCATGCCTTTCATCACTCAAGGAGCACGAGGGGGCAGTGGAGAGGGCCCAGACTGAGCACGGATGAAAGTAAAAGGAGACCTGATGGTAGAAACCAGTAATTACCCATCTCTTCTTATCACATTGGCTTTCAGTTGGCGTGAGACAACAAACTTCAGAGAGTTGTAACTTATGAATGAAAAGCTCACTTTGTCTGTTGTAGTGAAGATGACATGAAAAATAGACAATGGATAATGCAGCAGAAGGAAAGAAATGTGGTCATGGCTGAAATCAAAATCTAGAGATGCAAGTGGGAAGACGTGGTGGGAATCTGGCCCCTCTTCAGAGGACAGCTGACAGAATGTGCAGTGGTTTGAGAAAAGGATGTGTTGAGGAAGAGTTCAATGCTTTTATTTCAAGCCACAAGAGGGACAGAGTCACCACTGACAAAGATTAGGAAGATAACAGAAAAGCAAGTGTTTGAGTGGAAGACCGATGAAGTTTTTGCTATATTAACAGTTGCTTCTTTGTTTCTTTTTTGTAAGTTTTTATTGTGAAAATACTGTACAGAGGGGTTATAGTTACAATTGTTTCTTTTTTGTATATATTTTTATTGTAAAAATACTGTACAGATGGGTTATAGTTACATGAGTAAGGTAATGAGTGCTTTTCTTATCCAGCATTGTTACCTCCTCCTTTGTTTTTCCCCTACCATCCCTTCCCTCCCCACCTTCCCAACTCCCCCCCCCTCAAAGTTGTAAAGTTCATTTTCAACATAGTGTCTTGTACATTTCATTGTTACAATGAGTCAACCTACATCCTTATTTCAGCATTTTGTTATTTCCCTTCCCCAAATTAGAAAAATGTATATACAAGATTCAGGGCATCAGAAGCAAATACAGTAAAAGCAGGGGTTATACCATGGGGGAAACAAAAGAAACAAAAAATCACATGGTACATTATCAGTATATTAAAAACAACAGCAAGAAAGATAGAACCATTTGTGTCTCTATCTTGGGGTTCATTTCGCTTAGCATCATCTTATCTGGTCATATGTACATAGCTTTTGACCTTTTCTGCTTGTCCTAGGCATATACTACTTACTGCAGATAAGGGAAACCATGGGACCTATGTTTCTTTGGGACTGGCTTACTTCACTTAACATAATTTTTTCCAAGTCTTTTCAATTCCTAACAAATGGGATGGTGTCATACTTTCTGATGGAGGCATAGAATTCCATTCTTTATATATACCACATTTTTTAATTTTAAATATATATTTTTATTGTAAAGATACTGTACAAAGGGGTTACAGTTACTTGAGCAAAGTTATGTGTCCATTTCATATCAAGCATTGTTACCCCCTCCTTTGTTTTTCCACTACCATCCCTTTTCTCCCATCTCCTCCCTTCCCACCCCCCCACACACACAAAATTGTAAAGTTTGTTTTCAACATAGTGTCTTGTACATCTCATTGTTACAGTGGGTCATCCTATATCCTTATTTCAGCATTTTGTTATTTCCTTTCCCTCTTGATCCATTTATCTACTGAGAGGCATCTGGGTTGGTTCCATATCTTAGCTATGATGAATAATACTGCGATAGACATAGTTGTGCTGGTAGCTTTAGTGTGGTCTTGTTTGTGATCATTTGGGTAAATGCCCAAAAGTGGGATTGCTGGGTCATAGGGGAGCTCTATGTGGAGTCTTTTGAGGAACCTCCATACTGCTTTCCAAAGTGGTTGAACAAGTTTACACTCCCACCAACAATGCAGTAGGGTTCCCTTTGGGCCACATTCCCCTCTAGCATCTGTTGTTATTAGACTTCTTGATTATAGCCATTCTAATTGGGGTGAAGTACAATTTCAATGTTGTTTTGATTTGCATTTCTTTTACGGCTAGAGAAGTTGAGCATTTCTTCATGTGTCTATTGGTCATTCTTATTTCCTCTTCAGAGAAGTTTCTCTTTAAGTCTTTAACCCACTTATTTATTGGGCAATTGTTTCTCTAAGGATTTATTGTTGGGGATTTAATTTTTTGATTTTTAAGTATATTTTAGATATTCTTGTCAGTTTATATACCACATTTTCTTGATCCATTCATCCATCTGGGTTGATTCCATATCTCAGCTATGGTAAATAATGCTACAATGAACATGGTTGTGCTGGGGGCATTAGTGTGGGCTGGTTTGTAGTCATAGGAATAAATGCCCAGGAGTGGGATTGCTGGGCCATAGGGACGCTCTTTGTATAGTCTTTTGAGGAACCTCCATACTGATTTCCAAAGTGGCTGAACAACTTATATTCCCACCAACAGTGTAGTAGCCTTCCCTTTTGGCCACATTCCTACCAGCATTTGTTATTATTAGTTTTCTTGATCATTGCTATTCTAGGTGGAATCTCAATGATGTTTTGATTTGCATTTTTTATGGCCAGAGATGTTGAACATTTCTTCATGTGCCTGTTGGCCTGAGAATGGCTTTTTCTATTAAATATATTTTTTCTATTATATATATATATATATATATATATTGCCTACTCTATAGTGACCAGCAGTATACTCTCCCACCTTAGCTCTGTTTCCACTTTTAGTCAATACAAGATATATATACATATGTGTGTGTGTGTGTGTGTGTGTGTGTGTGTGTCTAATCCACTCTAGGAACCAAGACTGTAATAGTGATCATCTGTGTAAGGTAGAAAAGAAAGAAAATCTTACCCTAGGTCTGCAGGTGACTTTGCAATGAGGAATGTTTTAGTTGGCACTATTTACAATATAAATTCAGGTGTATTTCCTAGCTATGGAACCCATACTTGTCTTCATAAGCCTTTAGGAAACCAGTCTTTATGGTTCTTCATAACAAAAATGCACAGATTTGCCAAGTATATAAAAATGCACAGATTTGCTAAGTATATAGAGTATATTAGTAGAAATTGAGCAACACAGTATTTTAAGTGTTCAAATGGTAGTTATGTAAAAGAAACACTGAATCATCCCCAACTGAAGAGCAGCATAATCCTTCCTGTTTATGACTAAACAAATGATCTAAGAAGCTAGGAAGACAAAGCCAAAAAGAACTTGCAGAAGGATTGTGGCACATAGGCTCAGTAACACAGGGTCCCAACCCTCAGGCCATACACTATTTAGAAGGGAAAAAATCCTTAAGCTGCAAAAGGCCCATCTTTAATACAGAGGTCTTTCTGACTCTCAGTGCTTTCAGTAAAATAATTTCCTAATGGCAAAGCAGTAACACTAGTACAGCTAAAAAAGAAACATAAAATATGGCAAATCTTCAAGAAAAAGTTATAGAACCAGATGTTAGACTCAAAAAGAATTTATGAAGGGGCTTTTCAAGAAGTTGAAAATAGATCATCCTAAAGTTAAAAGTAACATTCATCAAAGTTATAATAATAGGAATATTGGAAGAATTAATAACATAAATGATCAAAATGTATAATTTGGACTCTTCAAAGGAAAAGAATCCACTCATGTCAAGTTGTGTCTCTCTGGGTACTAATTCTGTTATATTGCACAGTGCAACCTGACCCACCCATCAGCCTCAACTGGACTTTACTAAACATCAGTTTAACTGGGATTCATGCTGATATCCAAGTCAGATGGGAGCCTCCATCCAGTGCAGATGTTCAGAAAGGATGGATAGTTCTGGAGTATGAACTTCAATACAAACAAGTGAATGAAACGCAATGGAAGATGGTGAGCTATCACTGCATCTTAACCTATGACTTTTCTTCCTCCTACTTCAACAATTCATCTCTCATTTATAATGGGATTTCCTTGGGACCTAAAGCTACAGGCCCCATGATTCCCTACTAATCAGTAAAGTAATATCTTGGAATTATACAAGATGGCAGATGCATAGATATAGATATAGATATGGAAGCCTAGGGGAAGAAAAGGAAACTGCTTCTCTAGTCATTCTCTGTGTTCAGCTTAACTGGCAAGCCACACCATGGACTCTAACCACTCAGCTGTTTTTGGAAACATAGTTAAACATAAGAAAGACATAACTAAACATAATTGAACAAAGTCAACAGTAGACTATGGATAAATATCTTCCCTAGATTTTAATTACTGTGACTAACAAGATGTAGACCAGTATCAGTTCTTAAACTGTCTCCAGAGGAGTGGTAAAAAGGGAGAATTTGTTCCTTAGAGATTTCAGAAATATATTTTATTGCCCACCACAGCAGAGAATTAAGTCAGGAAGTTCTGTGTAGGCAAGTAGGGAGCAAGTTGGCCTGTGAGCCACTCTCCTCCTTGTTCAGTGTATGGGGACTCAGCACTGTGATAAATTCCACATGGCACAGAAGAAGGAAAACAGGATTATCATGCTGCTCCCAATATAACTAATTCTAAATCAGCTTAACCACAGCCACACTGACCAAGCCAAGCAGTTTCTGGCCAGTAATGAGGTTGTACCCAGCAGCCTGACAGAGCTTATACCCAGAACTTAGAGACACCAGGCCCTGTCCACTCAGTGAACCACTGAAAAAGAAGCCAATTTTGTCATTAACAGAAAGTTAGGTTTGAGCATCTCTAAGCAGTTACAAAGCCAGGCTTGAGGTTCTGTTTTCTAAATCATTTTAATTTCGATATCTGCTCTGTAACTTGGTATGAAAAAGCCTGGTTGGATGTTAAATCAAACAAGACTTGCTAAACCTAAGTTATAATCAAACATTGTATTCTGCATGTAGCTATAAGAAAAACTACTTTTCTAAGCCCCCAGGACAACAGTTATCTAGATGTAACCATGTAACCATAAACTCCTTTTCAGGGAGTTTACAAAAGCCAATATTATTTTCACAGAGTACTAATACGCTCTTTCCTTTTCTTCACTGTGTTGACATTTACACTAATGTTTCAAAGGCAATAGTGGAAAAAAAGTGTTGTCATATTAGCATTCAAACAGTAGTGCCAAACGTAACTAAAAATCACTGTGTTCTTTACCACTGTGTACACATACAAAGATAAATGCAGGGGCTGGACTGGGTGAATCCAGGTTCGTGATAAGAATGTGTTTGATGAAGCCACAAACATCATTAATTTTGTTCTATCTCAGCTTTTGAGTACATAGCTTTCTAATCCTCTCTGTCATATATGACAAGACAACATAATGCATTCCTAAATACACTTACTGGCTCATGATTTGCCCATGATTACCTGAATTTTGCATGCAGCACTATCCTAAGATCTTTATGTTTCTGTGTTATCAGTTATAATGTCTTTTTTCACTTCTAATTTCATTCTTTAAATGTTGTCTTTCTTAGTACAGTTAAAGGTTTGTAAGTTTTGTGAGTCTTTCCATAAACTCGGTTCTGTGGATGCCTTCCATAGTTCTCTGGTAGCCATTTTATTTTGTTTTAGATGTTTATCATTACCTTATTTCTGCTAACTTGGATACTAATTTGTTTTTCCTCTAGTTTTTAGTGGTATAATATTAGGCGTTTGAGATATTTTAAAGAGAATAAGTTCCCTCACACAGCTGTAGTGTCACGTAGAAAAGTTTATATAGTTAAATATGAGCAGTCAGATGTAATAAATAATAGCAAAATTATCTTATCTCACAGGGTCAAATGGGAGAGAATATGCCAGGAAAGACTTAGGATATCAGTAGTGCACAATATTCACACTGAGGGTTTATATGAGGAATAGGTCATCCCATTCAGGTAGATATCAGGAAGGAGCCAAATGAGAAAATGTAATATTGCACGTGTGAAATTTTGAGGCCATATGAGAGGAAAGGGGTCATAAGTGAACTTCCTGAGGCCTTCCTTTTGGTTCTGTTGTTAGTAAAACCTGTACATAATTCTGAAGACTAAAAAAAAAAGGAAAGAAAAATAAAAACAGGATCAAGGAATAGAAAGTGTTTTAATATTAAAAATAAAGGAAATTTAATATTCAGAATCCTACTTTAAGCATTTTAGGCATGTAAATATTGTATATGTTCAGAGGCCCCAGCAAAAGACACAAACAAACCATGTGATGTATACATGGAGGGAAGAGAAGTACTTTGTGAGTAGAAGCCAACCAGAGTGAAAGAGAAATTTGTTTCAGATGCTGAAGGCCCAACTTCTGGCTTAATAAGACAAATTTGGAGAATTTTATTTATGTGAAAATCCATGCTGTTGAAAAGTGAGTGTTCCAAGTTTTCTATAAACAGGAACAAGGCGTGCTACCAAAACACATATGAAAAGCACATCGAGTACCTGCTCTGGGTATTTGATGTTTTGGAGGAAAACATTATTACTAGATGAGTCCTCTTTGACAGCAATATGTTGTACAGGTCTAATAATCTCACTGCCCTTCTCTGGGGAGGTAAAAGAGTAGCCTGGCCTAAAGGGTTCTGAGACTTCTACTCAACCAAACATTCCAGTGACTCTTTACAGACATTTGAATAGCCAACTATTTTGAGCTGGGTGTAAGCCTTCTGGAACAAGTAGATTATTTATTTGCTTGCTTCCAATACAATTATTTAAAAGTTTATTAAACTGTGGCATGTCTAGGACTCTTTCCAAGTCAGTGATGATGAATAAATGATTATCCCGAATTTCCAAGGAACACAGATTCATAAATTGCTAAAGACTATATTTTGTTTTGGTGTGTAAAGAGATGTTCTGTTCTCATCCTCCGTACAGAACTTTAAAGACCCAGAAGACAGCATCTCTGTAGTCTTCGTTACTCTTCCATTCTTTACAATACTTCTATAAATTTTAGAATATCTGACAGCCTAATGCAAAGAAATAGCTGCACTTCGTTAAGCAATCTGCCATATCTTTGGGTTTATACCGAAGAAAATTTGAGGACTATTATACTTGCAACAAAATAACTCATTACACCTTTGTCCCAGTGTTTTGGAAAATAGCAAACTCCCTCTGGGTATTGTAAAGTATTACTCACTTTTCAGAAATCCATTTGGAATACAAATGGACAAACACCTGAGGAGTGGACTTATAGACTCTTTAGACAATAGCTTTTATGTGTTTATCTTGAAAGATGGACCCTGTAATGTCAACCTCAGTTCCCGTGTACTCATTGAGACTGGATAAAGAGTATGAAGTGCGTGTGAGATCCAGACAGCGAAACTCTGAAAAGTATGGTGTGTTCAGCGAGGTGCTCTACGTAACACTTCCTCAAATGAGCTCATTTGTGTGTGAAGAAGGTAAAAAAAAATGCTTAAATGGTAGCATGGCTTTTGGCAATATCACAGTGGAGACATGCCTACACTCTTAACCTCTTGAGCAGATCAACAACATTTGCAGTCACATTAAATATCAGAATGAAAGACTTTAGATCACTGTAACAGGTATTACATGTTGGAGATGCAAGAGGATTTAATTTCCAGATTTTAAAATTTAGGAGAAGTCCTGAAGTAGATTGAAATTTAATAAAGAGAATATAGTAGTTATCCCTATATAGTAGAATTTCAGACAAGTTTTCATTTTCATTTTTGGTGTGTGTGGGGAGGGGAGGGAGGAGATTGAGCAAATTCAGAGCTTCAAGCTCTCCACTCAGACTTTTTCTCTCATGGCTGGCACTCTGTCACTTGAGCCATACCTCCACTCGTGGCTTTTTGCAGGATAAATGGAGGTAAGAGTGTCTCAGATTTGTCTGTCCAGGCTGGATCCAAACTTCGATTCTCAGATCTCAATTGCTTGACTAGCTGAGATTATTAAGTGAGCCACCTGTGCCTGGCAAGTCCTTTATTTAAGGCTTTATGTGTCCAAATTTTTATGCACTTAATTTGTTTTGAATTTTTAATAAGAAAAAAATGGTTTGGGTCTTTTTTTTGTAATGCTTCAGGAAGAAAGTCTGATGCTCAGTAGTTTTAGAAAGTATGGATACGGCTTTTACCTAGAAGAAGGTCCAGTAAGTAGTATTGTCAGGAAAGTTCGTACAGAGTATTCTGTCAGAGAACCACAAAGATGATTTAAGGCTTTTTTCGTGAGATATACAAAGTCACACTAAAAGAATTAAAACTTTTAGATACAAAAGGAAAGGTGATTAATAATGAGCAATGAGTGTTTACCACTATTACTCTCAAATGGAAATTGACTATAGACTATCTCCATTGTAAACAGAAGATGTATAGCACTTTATCAAGAGTTGAGGTCTGTTAATAAAACAACTATTAGCTACAGAAACATTAAATTTATATTTCTGGGTATACTGTGCAAACAGTACTAAAATGAAAACTTCTAATGCACCATTTTTTTAAACTCAAATGGAGACTTCTTGTTTTAAAACAGTATTTGATACAATTAAATTCTTGTAATAAAAGTTATTGCTACACACTTTTTATGCTTAGCAGAGCAACATTTAATTAAATTAGCAAAAGTTTTTAAGTTGACTTCTCATTTAACATCAAGAAAAAATTAAATGCTAGCAGCTGCTTATGTTTCTGAATATATCATTGGTATAAAATTATAGACACCACAGGATCCAAAATGATATTTGCTTCCCTGAAAATATTTACAGTATCTTGTGGGGGAAATTTAATTATTTATTAGATAAGAAAACTATATTAGAGCATAAAGGCATACTTTTTTAAGTAGATAACAATTATAATTGATTTCAATATCCCTCTCTAATCAATACAGCCAGTACAATCAGTAATTTTTTTACAGAAAACTACTAAAAATATAAAAAACTTAAAAACACAATCAATAACTTTTTCTTAGTTGACAGTTAGAGAATGCAATTTAGCCACAGAAGAATATGCATTCTCCTCAATCAAATATAATACATTTGCCAAGGTCCACAATTATTTGAAAATAAACACTCACCTAAATAACTCATAGGTTACAGAGAATTAAAGCAATAGGAAAATATTTTTAATTAGATGAAAATGGAAACACAACATGACGAAATCTGTGGCTGTCACCTCAGGGAAATTTTTATAGCAACAGCCATTCCTGGAACCTTGACCTAAAGACATATTTTTTTTAAAAAGAAAGCAAAATTAAAGTTAATTCTACTTGTCTTTTAAAAAGTGCTTAACGTCTACCCATGTGATACTGGAAAGTAAACACAAGATAAGTGGGAGGCACTAAATCTTATGGGAAATTCTATATGTCATATTAACAAATTCCACTAAGTCTCCTCCAAAGTATAACACAGAGTAGAGACAGGATCCTCATTAGGATACGTGCATGCTTGTTTGGGGGGGGCGGGGAGGGTTACTAACATTTTAATTATCTTTAAGTAGTTGTACAAAAGCGTTGCCATTTATCAAAGCAGCTTGTGAATATAATATATCTTGATCAATGTCACTCCTTCCAGTATTCTCACCGATCCCTCCCCCCGCCCCCCGCACCCTTTCCCTCACTCTTCTTAATTTTGTAGGATTGAATTCTTGACTACATGGCCCCCTCTTCTCTTACACACTCATGTTAAAACTGTAAATTTTGTTTTACAGGTAGAAGAAATTTTATGAGTCATAAATGAAAATACTTCCTTTAGGAACTGGAGGTGCCTCAAGTGGCAGAGTGTCAACCTTGAAAGAAAAAGCTAAGCAAAAGTCTGAGGCACTTAGTTCAGTACACACCAACAAAAGGACCAGCACACATCTACACACACACACACACACACATACACTCACACCACACACACACACCACACACACACACACATACACCACACACACACCACACACCACACACACACCACACACCACACACACACCACACACAC